TCCCTCTCCCACTCCCCCTGCTTGTGTTCCTTCTCTCGCTGTGTCTCTCTCTCTCTGTCAAATAAATAAATAAAATAGTTAAAAAAAAAAGTACAACATTCAAAAGCATGTGCAGCAAAAAGCCACTCCTCTTCTCCTTCATCCTCAAGCCTCCCTGTCCCCCCTTGGTGAGACCGTCAGTGTTACTTCGCTAGTCTTCTAGAACTATTCTGTGTACACACAAGCAGATGGGCCCATGCCCAAATGTCCCCATACCTCACACAGTGCCTGTACCTTGCTGTTTCCATTTACTGCTAATCTGGTAGGTGATTCCACATCTGCACAAAAAGAACTTCCTCGTTCCTTTTTTTTAAGATTTTATTTATTTATTGGAGAGAGAGAGCATGAGTGGGGGTGAGGGAGCAGAGGGAGAAGGACAAGCAGACTCCCTGCTGAGCATGGAGCCAGACACGGGGCTTGATCCCAGGACCCCGACACCGTGACCCAAGCTGTAGTCAGACGCTTAACCAACTGAGCCACCCAGGTAATCCACCTTTTTTTTTTTTTTTAATAGCTCCATAATATTTCATGTGTGGATATATATACGTATTTAGTAGAATTTTCTGTAGACATAGGCAAATGACTCGGGAACTCAAAATTGCAACTGGTAGAAAAGTGTTACCTGGCAGGAGCCTCTAGAGGAATTATTTGAAGGATCAGAAAAATAAAGTGTCTTTCTATTAATTAATCATACATAAATAGTGCAATAGAATTTCCTGTGATGGAAATCGGTGCTGTTTCCCTGTCTGGCTGTCGGATGCAGTCGCCACCAGCCACGTGTGGCTCCCGAGCCCCTGAAATGTGGCTCAGTACAGAACTGAACTTGTAATTTTAATTTAAACTTAAGTAGCTACATCTGGCTAGTGACTGCTTCTTAGTGCAACTCTGAAGGACGTAGAAGGGATGAAAAGCATCTCTTTGAGGTTTTCCGCAGTTCAAGTATCAGTTTGTCCTCCTGATTTGCTCAGTGAACTTCTTGGTGAGAACAGAGCTGACCTTGTTCCCCGTGGGAACCAGTGGCCGTGGTTGGGGGAGTCTGACCTAGTACGTGTGTGAGGCTTTGCGCATCCTCTGTCAGGATGAGGTGTGAACGCAGGAATTCTGATTGCAATGCTCTGGTCTACAGCAGGACTGCCTTAAGTGAGAAGAAGCCAACTGTGAAGCCCAAGTCCCCAGAAAAGAGCAAGCCAGATGAGAAGGACCCAGAGAAGTCACCCACCAAAAAACAAGAAGGTGAATGAGCAGCTTGGGCCTGAGACTGGTGGGCCCCCGGGACCAGCCTCCGAGCTTTTGCCTGAGTGACTGGGCTCCTTTGGGGTTTGGAACAGGCAGAGCCTCGATGCTATCTTTGACCATGAATTTATGGAGGTCAGAATAGCAGCTCCCAAAATACCATGCATCCGGGGCGAAGAGTAGGTGATGGCGATGGAAAATAAAGATCTGGAAATCTGCTTAGAAATTCGCTTCCAGAAGGCACTTATCTGGGCATTAGAACTTGAGCCTCATAAAGGCCCAAGCAGAGCTGAAGAAGTCAGGCTGTGGCTTGCTGACCCCGGGAGGTCAGGGGTTATGCTTGGTCTCAGGCAGTGGGTGGAGGTGGCCAGTGACAGACCCTGGCGGGCCGGGAGGTGGGGTGCAGGTGGATTGGGCCCTGCTGGAAATGCCACCAGGGCACGTCGTGAGGCCCCTGCTGTAGGAGGTTCTTCCAAACTCCTAACTGTCTCCATGCTTCTCCATCAGTCCCTGAGGAGAAGTATCTAACCTTGGAAGGATTTCACAAGTTTGTTATTGACCGAGCCAAACAAGACATCCGTAGTGTCTGGAGGGCAATTTTATCCTGTGGTTATGACCTTCACTTTGAGAGGTAAGAAGTTGTCCCCCAACCTTGTATAAAAATTGTTTTTGGCCACCAGAAGCATCCCCAAGAAAATCCTTCCTGGGAGCCGTTCCATCTGCCATTCTAAATGCCTACTGAGTTTCTAATTTTTCATAATTTTCAAAGTGGGTTTTAGAACCCATTTGGAAACAAACTCTGTTCTAAACAACAAATTCATCTTCTCACAGTTCTGGAAGTCAAGGTGTCAACAGGGTTGGTTTCTCCTGAGGCCTCTGATTGGCTTGCAGATGGTCACCTCCTCAGCGCTCACGCGGCCCTGCCTGTGTGCGGGCGCGTCCCTGCTGCCGCCCCGCTTCTGAGGGGGACACCTGTCTGCTGGTCTGGGCCCCACCCTGAGGACCTCCTTTAACTCAATTAGGCCCTGTCTCCTAACAGTCACACATTGGGATTTAGGGCTTCAACACAGAAATGGGGGTGGGAGGCCGGACACACTTCAGTCCCTAACGGGGACAATTTTTCATTCCAAAGACTCTCTGTTCCTCGGAGTCCCGCTTTGTCTCCAAGTCCCCGTTGCCCGCTCTCCTTCCCTGCCAGGCAGGATCTCACCAGGTCCCCAGGGCCAAACAAGAATGATTTCCCCTTTCTAGCTGTAAGGGAGTCCCAGGCCGGCCCGGTGCTTACAAACGGGAAGAAACCTCCGTGCCTTCACTCTGGCGCTCACCCTAGGCACGCAGCAAGATGGGCAGGCGTCGGGGAAGGAACGGCTGCCCGGAGCACGCTCTTCTGAAATCTGTGTTCAGGGTTCAGAAGTGGTTTGCTGCTTGGCACCATCATTTTGTACAGAAAGCTCAGAGTCCGTCCCCGGACCAGTTCTGATTTATTTTAGAAGCCAGTAAGAGAGAGGACTTTGGGGCTTTTTGAAAAGTAGAATCACCTGTTTTGGACTAGAAAGTACATTCGAAGTGGGAAGGTTGCTGATTGGCCTGCAGACGAATTCCCACGTGACACGTTTGTTACAGCTCGACGGCTCGTTCATGGGCGCCCTGACGCCTCCTTCCCTCCTTCCCCCACCTGGCCTAACGGCAGCCAGTGACATCAGCCAGCCTGGAGGGGGCTGTGGCGGTGGGGGGGGACCCTCCGGCAGAGGGGATCCCCTTCTGGAGGAAGCTGTCTCTCAGCACTCCTTGGGTAGGACCCACGTGGCCTGTGTGGAGAGGCTCGGCCCCTGCCCCCAGATAGGCCCTCCTGGCAGGAGGCACCCTGTGTGGCATGCGGCCCAGGGAGGTGCCCAGGGCTCTGGAGCTAGAGGCGCCCATCCCCCCGGCAGCCTGCCCACCTTTCTGGCGCCCCCAGCTTACGGGGCTGGGCAAGGCCGGGCACACTCACTGAACACCCTGGCGGCGTGTGCAGGCGCAGAGGAGGTTGCCCGTGGGTCTGCGCCCAGGGTCATCGCTTTGTAAAGCTTCAGTAAATGGGTCTCCCGACATTTTAAGGGTGTAGGTTTTTTCAGTACTTAGAAGTGGGTGCACATGAAACAGCTGCTTTTTTCCCTGTTTCCACCTCACTTGGGGTCACTGAGGCGGATGATGCAGCGATCCCGCCTTGCCGGGCACTCGGGTGGCGAGCAGTGTCCCGTCGGCTAGAGCGATGGCCCCCCCCACCCCTCTGCCCGCGCCCAGAGCTCCGCGCGCCAGCCCTGCCTGCCGCCCGAGGGCCACGGCTTCAGTGAGGCCGGCGGCTGGCGCTCCTCGCGCCCTTGGCCGTGAGCCTCCCAGGCGCCGCCAGCCTACTGCCGCTAGCTGCACTTCGTCTGGGCCCAAACCGGCCCCAGGAAGCAGCCGTCTCTGTGGCCCAGGGACCCCAGAGCCCCGGCCTCAGCCGGCCGCCCTCTGCTCACGTGCAGGAGGGGGGCCCGGGGTCGGGGGCGCCGTTCCCACCCTGCGGCCCGTGTGCTCGCTCCTCCTGGGGGCGCGCCCCACGGGGTTGGGCGCCAGGACGCCAGCTGCGAGGCGAGGCTGTTGCGGCGTCCTCCGGGAGCTGGGCCGTGGCCCCCGGCCCACCTCGCCCTTCTGGCCGGCCCAGGTGCGCCTGCATCGACGTCCGACACGCGCACAAGGCCTCGAGGAAGTGGACCCTGGAGATGGACGTGGCGCTCGTGCAGTACGTCAACCGGCTGTGCCGCCACCTCGCCATCACGCCCGCGCGGCTGCACCCCCATGAGGTCTATCTGGACCCCGCAGATGCCGCCGACCCCAGAGTGGCCTGTCTCTTGAGTAAGTGGGCCCTGGGGGGCTGGCCGTGGGGGACGGTCTCCCTGCGCGGCCTGGGGGCATCCCCTAGGTAGTGCGGGGAGCGGGGTGGGGGGCACCTGCTGTGAGCCCTGGGGGCAGAGA